CAGAGGGGCGTGGAGGGGGCCAGGTGTGATGGGCTGGGGGCCGGGACGGGTGGGAGGGGCTGCTTTGGGTGCGAGGTGGTTTCGCGCCTGGTGAAGGGCGTTTCATCAGGCGGGCGCAGGAGGGGAGGACCTGTGACGAGCGGGGGCGCCCTGACCAGTGCGTGCGCAAGGGTCGAGTGCGTGGGGGGGAGGACAGGGCCAGTGGCGAGCGCTCGTGCGCCCCGGTCGCGGAAAAAGGGCTGCTTTTTTGGCCACCTTCACGGTGAGAGGTCCCGCACGTGAGAGCCCCCGGATCGCCGACGGGTGCTGAGGCACGTGTTGCGCTACCTTCACCACAAGATGATCCCGAGGCTTTGGCGTCGCGCCAGAGCCGCCAGCGTCCCCACTCAACCACGCCTCCTGAAAACAGCACCATGCAGCCGCCAACCCCGCCCGCCTGCTCCCCTGAATACACACAAACAAACACCCCAAGTCTGTCGCGTGCTGGCTGAACTGCCAAGGGCATGCCCCGTGCCCCCCGGCCCCCAGCACTCCACACCTCACGCGCCACAGCGCAGACGGAAATGGCATTCCTGCGCTGCGAGCCACACAGGCACACACCAGTCTACACACCTGCTCTCCCCTATCCACGCCTCCCCCAAACACACACACACACACACTCACAGACACCAAAACACACCCACCTTGTACTTCTTGTCCACGTTGACGCCGAACAGCCTGCCCAGGCCGTAGGCGCTCTGGCCCACCATGTCGGCGTTGAGGCGGCCGTCCACAAACATCTTGGCCCGCACCCTGTTCTTCTCCTGCGAGACGAGGTCGGTCGGATGAGCGTGCCGTTTTCAACACAGGACGTGAACAGTCTAGCGCCAGGGGCGGGCTGGAAGCTTTTCTGGTGGACTACAGCTGCAGCATGCGCTTATTCCTGACCTCCACCTCCCTCGACCCCCGGCTTTGGGCCGATGCTGCGTCAGCCTTGACACAACAGAGCCGAGGCACAGCGCGGGTCTCTCGGTTCTCAACACGCGTGTGCGCTCTCAAAGCCAGCGCACCTCCTCATTCAGGAAGTAGGCGCCGCGGCGGATAAATTCGGCCTGGGGTGGGCGCGGATCCAGTGCACAAGGAATGGGGACACGGCGCCGCAGGTGAGGCGAGGGGGGGCGGGCTCGCGTGTGCGACTGCAGCACTTGTCGGACGCGCTTTGCGGACCCCCTGACAAAGGAGCAGACGGCTGGATCACCCCCGTTCGCAACAATAGGTGCCTCTAGACTTCCAAGCAGGCCCTGAGGGCGGGGGCTGTGGCAGTCCCGTGCCACTTCCCCCCCCCCCCCCACCTTGATGTCGTCGTACATGCTGTCCACCACCACCACGCTCTGCTCCGTGGAGCAGATCACACCGTTGTCAAAGGTCTTGGGGAGGGAAATGGGGTGCAAAGGGAGCACAAGGGGGTGGGAGTAAGCTTGGGGGAGGGGTGGGGATGTGTGTGGAGAAGGGGCAGCGTGTGGGGCAGGCAAGTAGCAGCTGGCAAATGACGCCATCTCAAATGTGAGGGTTGGCGACGGCTGGTCGTGGCGGCGGGGACGTGTCAGGGACGGTGGAGGAACCAGTCCTAGTGCGCTTGAGCCTGTGCTGCAACGGCTGTGGACAAACCGCCAAGCTGTAGGGGGTTGAGCCCCGCTGCCTGCATAACAAGCTGATCAACTGCACTGTGTTGCGTAGCGTGTGTGTTGGTCCCTCCTCCGATCCGCCCCCAGTGTCGCTGGCCCCGATGCCCTCAAACAATCACCTTTGACAGCAGAATAGAGGACACCGCCAGGTTTACGTTGGCGGTCTCATCAATCACCGCGGGGGTGTTGCCGGCGCCTGTGTGTGTGTGGGGGGGGGGCAGCATGACGCCGGGGGTACACCACTCAAGAATGTCACCGGGCAGCCCCAAGGTGGGCGTGCAGCACACAGACACGCAAACCATCTAGCGGAGCAGCCCCACACTGCGGTTGGGGGCTCATTGTTGCCGTGCCGCCCGAATCAAGGACGCGCCGTTGGGTGGTTGAGGATCGCGTGGGTGGGTGGCTGGGTGGGCGGGTTGATGTGTGAGTGGGTGGGTGGGCGCCCTGTGCTCACCGACGCCGACGGAGGGGTGGCCTGAGGAGTAGGCGGAGCGCACCATGGCGGGGCCGCCGGTGGCCAGAATGAGGGAGACCTCGGGGGCCTTTGGGGGTGAGGGGTGGGG